GTGCCGAGAAAGGAGCTCCTGTTCCCCGGGATGAGCCCGGCTCTGTTCAGGGCAGCCCCAGCTGCGTTCCCGTCTGAGCCCCTCTGTGCTCCATCCCCGGGACACTGCTGGTCCTTCCGGGGGCTCAGCCAGCCCTGCCGCTCTCAGAATGGATTATTTTATTTTATTTTCCTTTCTTTTTATTTTATTTTGATTTATTTTATTTTATTTTGATTTATTTTATTTTATTTTATTTTATTTTATTTTATTTTATTTTATTTTATTTTATTTTATTTCATTTTATTTCATTTCATTTCATTTTATTTTATTTTTATTTTATTTTATTCCATTCCATTTCATTTCCTTCCATTCCATTTCATTTCATTCCATTCCATTCCATTCCATTCCATTCCATTCCATTCCATTCCATTCCATTCCATTCCATTTTATTTTGTTTTATTTCGTTTCCCTTTGAGAGCAGAGCTGTGCCAGCCTCGGGCTCGCCCCGCGCTCACAGCGTTTGGATGGAGCACAGAGGAGGGAGAGGCGTGGAAAAGGAAGGGATGGATGGACAGAATTATGGAATATTTTGGGTTGGAAGTGATCTTAAATCTCCTCTCCTTTCCGYGGGAGGGAACTCCTTCCACCAGACCTACAAAAATGAAATCGAGGTGTGGAAAGGGAACTTTGTCCCAAAACTCCCCAGAAAATCCGGGATAAAGCTGTCCCGGGATAAACCCGAACCCCTCGCTCTGTCCCACCCCAGCAGCCACGGCCAAACCTTGCCGGGAAATTCCTCCTGGAAATCCCTCAGCCCCACCAAAAGCAGAAAAACACCGTGGAAATGAAAGCTGGGACGAGGCACTGGGATGTGAGCAGGGCTGGGATGAGACCGGAACCTCCTCCAGAGGGATTCAACCGGGAACGATCCGAGACAGAGCCCAAACACCCCCCAGGCAAAGCAGGCACGGCCAGCTGCGTTCCACCGGCGACAAAAAAGAAATGAATTGTCCTTTTGCAGCCGGAATAATAGGGCAGAAGCTGCTGCTGCATGTGGGACAGCGGCTCTCCGGCAGCTGATTTGCTGCAGAGCTATTTTTGCCTGGCTGTGATTAGCCAATCTTGCCCCGAAAAAAAAAATAAAATAAAATAAAATAAAAAAAATCGTAAGGCAAAGCCACATCCTAGACAGAGATCTGGGCCCGGAAAACAGAAGCCCGAGGGAGCGGAACGGGCGGATCCGCGCTCCAAGCGCTCCCCGGGCTGTGATGTCGGCGGGCCCGGGATGGGGATGGAGTAACCGAGGAGCGGGAGCGGGAGCATGCTCACTCCTGCATCCCTGCATCCCAAAATCCCGACATCCCGACATTCCTGCATCCCGACATTCCTGCATCCCAAAATCCCGATATCCGAACATTCCTGCATCCCAAAATCCCGATATCCTGACACTCCTGCATCCCAAAATCCCGACATTCCTGCATCCCAAAATCCCGA